GAGAGAGAGAGAGAGAGAGAGAGAGTCACGTGCTCGTAAATCTGTCACAACTCTTTAAGCGTTCATGATAGCTGTGCCTTTTTTTATTTTCCTTTCTCTTTCTCCTCACCATCGTCCTCTCCTCTTCACCGTCTTCCTGTTTAAGTTCAAAAACAACCGATCCTGCCTCTTCCCGCCAGTTTTCGTTTCATTTCGCCCTCTCTTGGATGGTGGTCGTTCGTCCCTCTCTCTCTCTCTCTCTTCACTTTTTTAATTTTTTCTCTCTTTCCCTTCCGTCCGCGATTGCACTTTCTCCGTTCGTTTGAACCTCGACGACCCTCACTCTGCAATATTATCAACACTGCCAAGTTCACTTCTGTTTACATTCACCACGCTCGAGAAGAGGCGAGAAACCGCGCGCTTTCTCACGAGCACGGATCAATCGGGTGACCGATTGCTATTTGGGGCCATGATCGTGGCTTTTCTTACGTTTCTCGATCGAATGGTGAAGATATGATGTACGATCGTTTCGAAACACCGTCGAATAGAATCGTTTAAATGGTTCTAATGCATCTGTATAATCTTTATTTGTGGAAATGATTGATTGATTTATCGTTTCTTTGCAATTAAAAATTTGTAAGATAATAAAAGAAAGAATTCAGAACGAATCGATATCTCCTTCCTTTTCCTAGACAAATTGATAAATGTGTATAATTATGTTAAAGGATTGTTAAATTGAAGAAAATTGAATTAAATTTAGATCGAATGAATATTCGATCCTGTATCCTTTTTTTCCCCCTTAGATGTAAATACATTTATAATCTACAAATTAATATTCGCATAATAAGTAATTTGTATAATATAGCATTAATACGCTATTAATATGCAACAATAAAACGGGTTCCTAATGAATATTGACATCTAAACGTCTATTTGTTAATCATTGTATAATGTGTGTAATATCGAGTCAATGAAAATCTAGATCTATTAATCGTTATTGCAAATTTATTCGTTTAACCATTCTATAATTTAAATTTATTCTATAATTCATTGTTGCAAAAAATAGATGGTTTGAAGGTAGGTCTTCTAATCTTAATCGTTAGCAATGAATAGAAGATTAGCATTTACTTCGCAGTTATTATTGAATTATTTATTTTCTATTTGTAAAGAATAATAGAGAAATCTCAAGGAGGAATCCAGACTTTAATTTTTTTTTTTTCCAAAACTTCCAAAACAACGTCACCAGAGCATTTATTTCGAAAATCACCGCGCGCCATCTACATCGTCCTTAATTCTCTAGTAAAGAGCACGATCGATCGTTCAAATTTACCACCTATTACGATTATTCAAAAGCGATCCAAGCAATACGACTTTGCCTGTATTTTCGTCGTGCTTGTATCGCTCCAACCGCCACGTAAGTATTGATTTTTCCAATGTTTCGTCATCGAGGTACATTTCGATTAGATTGATTACCTGACGATGATCTCGCTTAAACTCGTGTTTACACACGAGCGATATCTGACCAGCGAACGATAAGCGCTGGAATTAAGGCTAATACGATTAGTCCGTTCGTGATTCGCGCAATTTTCCTGTCCACCGAGAAGATTAGCGCTCGCGTCTCGTGAAAATCGCCTTTTTCTATGTTTAGCTCGTAAAGTTCAATGCACCTGCATACCTAGTCAATTTCCCCTCTAGAAACTACTTTTTCGCGAGTTGGCGTGTTGGTTTCGAATAAATTTTTCTTTCACTCGTGTTTCCAAATTAAAGTCATTCAATTATTTGATATTATTTGTAAAAGTGTGATGATTTGTATTCGTATGAATTTTTTCTCGATTAACTTTTTCGGATATTATTTTATTTATATTATACAAAACGTATTTATCGGCGATATTAATATAGTTTCGCTTAAGAATTGATAAATGTAGTGTAGTTTGAATTAAAAGTACGTTTCGAAGATCGATAGTGACATCTGTGTATTTTATTATGAAGCTTATATCAGATATTCTCTGACGGTATTCGAATATTCGAATTTGAATTAAACGAATACTAGAGTAATTAAAATTCAAATATCGTAGATCCAAATATTCAGTTATATTTTTATATATTCTATATATATATATATACAGAGTATATATATGGAGTATCTAATTTTATCAACTGGAATATCTTGTTTGTTTTTGATAATATTAAAAAATGGTTCAGATAAAAATTGAATGATTCTAAAGGGGGCGTAATATGATATAATTATTTTTTTATATGTAGATGCGTGGTTATATGAAGATTAAATTATTATTTTAAATAAACATTTTGAAAATTCTAGGAATTTAAAATCGTTTCCGATATTTTTTAAATTTTTAATCGTTTTAGGATTATTGATCAAGTGTTTAAATGATTTTAAAAAAAATTTATCATTTATTATTTATCATTTTTTAAAAATTTATCAATATACATTATATGAATGTATTAAAATTTTTACTATATTTACATTTAAAAATATTTAACATAAATGTGATGTAATATGATATGAATATTTATAAAATATACATAAAAAAAAAAATGGATATTTAGAACATTTAAAAAATCTAATTTATATAAATATTCTGATGAATTTAACTGATGTATATAAGCATTGTATTAAGATTTTCAACCAAAAGATTAAGTAAAAGAAATAATAAAATTGATTAAACATCGTGTTTTATATACATAAATTTTGCAGAGCAAATGTAGATAAGAATAAATAGTAGAAAAAGGACAGAGATAGGATAAAAATATGGAAATCAGCGCCATCTTCAGATAAATAAAACTAATGTAGGTAAGGAGAGCAAATAAAAAAAGAAAGATAGAGGTAGAATAAGAATTGATTGTCAACGCCATCTCTAAGATGATATAAAATAAGAATTCGCGATTAGTGCCATCTCTTGAAAATTTTTAGAAATAAAAAATATTTGATGTTCAAGAGATGCCGCTAATCATCAATTCTTACTCTAACTTATCTTGCATGTTAAAAGATGTCTTTGGTATTCAAAAGATGGCGCAAATGATCGATTCTTACTCCATCTTTTTCCTCTTATTATTTACTTTGTTTATATTTGTGTTTCATTTTCAAGATGGTGTTGATTTCCATACTTTTGTTCTATGTTTGTTATATCATTTATCCATATTATTTTTAGCGTACCAATATTTTAACTGTTAATGAAAAATCGAAATTCGACACGTTTTATTTAATTTAAGTTAAATTAATAAACTGATAAATCAAAGATTGTTTTAAAACCAAAAATATAATTGGTATATATATATATATATATATATTTATTTAACAACTGTAATATGTCTAATCATATTTATTTGCTCATGTATTGTTACTAATAGATGCTATACGCTTAAATACAGTTGATGTATTGCAGAAACGAATATACCAAAAAACTTAGCAATGTACACGCTATTCAAGTCATTTTTAAATAGATTATTTTATCATTTATCGATTATATCGTCCAACAAGAAGTGTAGGGTGGTATCGTTAAATATATTAATTTCATAGTGTCAACGATTGACGATCGAAAATGTCTTCAGCTAAGCGATTTTTCCGTAGAAAGGGATCGCGTAAATGAGAATATAAAAAAAATGTTGGAGGACGGGTAGGTACGAGAGTGGATGAAAGGATAGTGAGACGAAATTAAACAAGGGAAGATATCTCTATACAAAAATAATCGATGAAAGGCGAGAAAATAAAACGCTCTCACGAACGCTCGTATGATACAAGTCGACGAGATAATACTTTTTCTTTAATAAGATTAGACTGAATCTTAATCTTTTTTTCATACACTTCATTCACACACACACACATGCAGATTCATTTTCTCTTCTTGATTGTTTTCACACATTCGTTCTCTTTTCCTCTCAAAGTCCCTTTCAATCTTGTACGCGTGCATTTTGCTACACAATGGCTACGATGATAATATATTTGTTTGTTGTGTGATGTAAAATAATAATACACATTAACGTTTGCGAACAAAATGAGACCGTCATATCGAATGGTGTATTACCTAATTGTCATGCATAATGCGTTGCTGTGCAAAACTTAATTTTAAAAACAGAGTAAACACAGACAAAGAAAAGTATAGAATACAACAATAATGTTCACGGCGGTTAAGAAAAATCTCGGTGCACGAATATTTTATTTCTCGAATTTCGATCTTCTTAAGAATGAGAACTTTTTTACATCGTGCAACCGGTCCTTTTCTTTCCGATGCTCGTTAATCGATCGATACTTCGATGTGTTATTTAAACAATCGATCGGCTCGAGCGAAGCGCAATAACGGAAAATATCTTACACGCAAATCTCGATGCTCTCTTTTTACAATGAAAAACTTCTTCACATCTTTGGTAGAAACTACTAAATAAATTATATTGTCACTTACAGTAAGAATTGGATTGAATCCTCAAAAAAGAAGATTCCACAGAACGCGGTCGTGAAAAATTTGGCTTCTCGAATAATTTTTTTTTTATCTTATTTCATCGTTCTCTTCTTTATCCGATACCTGGCAAAAAGACTTGTCATTGCCCGAGAAGAAGATAACGCGTCTTGTTTGAAAGATATTAATAACGACGATACACAACATATGAACAGAAAAAATATCGTGTCCATTTTGTTGTTTACGAGAAGCGCACAAGGAGGTAAATTAGAGAAATATACACGCATATACAATAAAATTCTGAAGTAGAATTCGGTGTGCTTGAGAATATTACACGTTGGTATGATAAACGCTATTAATAATACAATATACGGAGTGTATCATCATATTATCATTTGATTTACAGATGTATTTTCAATTTAAAAAATTTAGAAAACAAATTCTAATAAATGCGAGTCCTACAATTATTTAATTTTTATGAAATATGATAGGATGGATTAATTAAAATATTGTCACGTTTATGATGATAGATTTTTAATAGAATCTGAAACTTAGAAACTAGAAATTGCTATACATAGTCTATTTGAAGCCAATAATTGAATGTCAATCAATAACATTATAAGTAATAATAAACTAATAAAATAATATTCAAGATATTCTTAAAATATAGTCATATCAGGATATTATTTTTTTCAAGTCTCATGTGTTATAAAAAGTAAAAATTGTTCATCTAGAACTTGTTATGATATATATGCCAATGGAAGCCATTTTGCACAGATATTTAAAAATATTTGAATGAACACATTTTCTTATATTTTATCTTTAATTAAATTATCTATATATCTATAAATTACCTAACATCTAATATTAATTCAAAACTTCAGACTTGCAAACAATAATCGACGTTTATATCAATGTCAATTTTTAAAACTTTTTTCAACATTGAATTGTTAATTTTTTTATAACTTTTAATTTACTGACACTTGATTATACTTTAAACGATATATTAAAATTTAAAAAAAATAACTATTCTTCAAAATCAAACAATTCCAGAATTTACATCTATCAGAACTTTTTTTTTAATATTTAAAACAAAATACATTTGTAAATCTTGTATTTCAAAGTATTTCCACAGTATAACTTCTCCGTACATCAAACTAGCGTTTCCAGTGTGGCTGTGCGTCAAGGTACGTATACACGATGCAGAACGAATAACAAAAAAACGGAAAAATGAAAACGTAGAAGAAAGTAAAACGAAAGAAGAGACAGATGTCGTTCACTATTTAACTGGAGCTCGTCATGTCTTTTTATCTCTCGTTTTCATTCACTGCCAAATGATTCGATCGATCACATTATTATTCGTCAATCTATTTAGAAAATTATCCAATATTTACAAGTTGAACAAAAAATCCAATTTGTCCCTCGAATGTCGTCGACTTTCTGGCACGTTCACATCGAACGAAGAAAAGTCGTTTGGGACGAATATTACACGAATATTGATCAAATGATAAAGAAGAAAAAAAAAAAAGAGATTAACGATACTAAAGATCGATCAACTTTCTGTCAATTTCGACTTCGAACGAGAGCTGACTTACGAATATTCGCTTTCGTGAACGAAGCGAGATCTCAGCCAGACTTGATACAAATAATTCTAAACGCTATGTGTCACATTAAACTCGACGTAAATTATCTACTTAAACCATTTTGCCTATTTACTAGGTAGCCTCTATTTTCGCACGCCTTTCACACATTCTTTCTCTCTCTCTTTCTCTCTTTGTTCTCTATTTGCTCGTATTTCTTTTTTGCCTAGGTTCGTCAAACCTACCTAATATCCTGCGAATTTATCGCAGGATTACTGTATTTTTTTCAGATAAGAACCAACCGAAGAAACAGCGAAATTTACCTACGATTGATCGAAAGTAGATCGAACTTTGAACCAATCGCTTTTTCTTCGCTCTTTCTTTTCTAGAATATATTCTAGAGCGTTTTTTAATGCGAGCAATCGAGTCGTTTCGAGACTCTTTTAATCATATATTTCATCAGAAGCATCGTTTTGCCTCGCGATTCTTCAACTTGTACGCTGATTTATCGGATGTCGGTCCGGTCTTCGAACAGGAAACAGATGTAACGACGTCCAAGTGGCGCTGATTGCTCGTTCTTCTTTCTTAACAGGATGAGCTTTTAAGCTCGCCGATATCAACGATGTTCTGCAGCAACGCGGCCGCCTCGCTGCTTGATTGATTCGTTTTCGCGTTGTATCTTTGTTTCAGGGTGCTCAATGCGGACAACAGTTTTGTGTTTGACGTCATTAGACGCGAATTCGCGGCGTCCAGGGCGGCTATTTGCTGCTCCTGCGCATCGATCACGCGCTGCTTGTACGACAACGCAGCCGACATCTTCTGTTGTTCGCGTCGTAGTTCCTCCTCCACAGAGATTAACCTAAAAGAAAAAGTTTATCGTTATACCTAGTTCTGAACATTTTGTGTTTTTCGTGAATGTCGATCCACGTTACAAACTTTGCCATGGAGCAATCTCTTGTCTTGTTTGATTATACGATTCACGTTGTTTCAATTTTTGTATCAATTTGAAGATTTTAACTGTTTATGGAAAATTAGTTGAAAAATTATCTAGCAAACTTTCGTTAAAACTATATTTAGAACTATATGTAAAAGATACAGAGATTACTTCGATGGTTCTGAGCACACATGGAACTGAGCTTCGCCTGTGAACTCTCTCTATAGTTTTAGTTGGAATTTGATTAAAAATGAATTTTTTTTAAACAGGTTTTAATAATGTAATTTTGGCAAGATGAATGTAAAGATATGAGAGATTTCATAGGAATGCTTAATAGGATCCAAGCGCACCACGATGCATATTATATCGAAGAAAAGAACATCAATGTATAATAACTTCGAAATGAAAGTTAAAGAAAGCAGCAGTGTTTGGTGCAAAATATCATACGTTCGGACAACCAAAAAGAACGATCAGTAATGCAACAGGATAAAAGGGCACTTTTCATCAAAGAAGCCAGGCGTCTGCTTCTGCGATTGGCCACAGTCAACTTTATGTGTGTATAAATGAGTGTAGTGGTTTCGAAAGAAACATTCAGAATAATATTGTAATTAAAAAAAGAAAATTCTCATCAAATATCAATTAATTTGTACAATAATTTCATAGATCGAAAAAAAAGAATTTCACAAACTTTTAATAAATTTTGTACCGTAATAAAAATACGATTCAAAATTATTTTGAACATTTCTCACGCACGTTGCAACACACTACCGCAGACACACAAAAATCGTAGGTTGCATTTAGTGAACCGTGCACACGTGAAACAGAACGAACGCGTGAATCGAAGGCGTGTATGAAAAGGCTGTCGGTGTTATATCGAGAAACTTGGTGAAGTATCGATATGTGGTTGATTGAAATAATGTTATTGGACGGTGATGTAAGTATAAAACACGCAGGGTGAGAATGCTGGTTCATCGAACAGTGATTCAGAGTATGTTATAGTTATACATATAAAACAGGTGAACAGACTTTGAAACTTTTGTATCATATAGCTTTTCGCGTACATATAGAAAGATAAATAGTTTAGTCGCGTGTTTTTTGTCGGATGAAACCAAGATATAAAACACACAAGAGATATATATAAATATATATATATATATATATGAATTCAAAAAACGCTAAAAATATGTGATGTAAAAATGTAAGAAGCTTAGAAATATAATTGACTCTTACACCAAGGTCCAGATCAAGCCAGAGTATACCAAATGCAGCGGATAGAATGCACAGGAACACACAATCAATTAAACATACATTATTTCGAGAAACAGTAACCATGTTCGAGTTACGCGGCTTGGTGCTACTTTCTTTTTTTTTTTTTTTTTTTTTTTTTTTTTTAATTCTGCTATTTAATATTATTTGTACAACAAATATATTTTCTGTTTGTTTATATCGTTTGGTTTACTCGGTATTATTTTCTTTTTCATATATTTACACAAATTTTATTTAAAATCAAATTGTTTTCGATTGATACAAAGTTATTGGTAGACAGAACTGAATAAACTTTACGCTGAAAAATAAAAAACATTTATTATTTTTTTCAAATATTTTGATGATCAATTCGTATCAATTAAAATTTTCCTAAATATAAAAGACAAAGAAATGAAATAAGAAAAATTTAGACATTTAGAGAAAAATAAAAATACGTGTCACACAAATCAATATATAGAAAGAATATAAGAATAATAAAATAATATATACAATCCAAATTCTACTATTTTCTTCTCGATCATTATAATCAACTCTGTCTGCCATTTGGGAGAGATCATCTCTGAAGGATCTCTGCTATCGCAAAAAGATCAACGAAGCTATTTCGCAAAGAGGCCATTGAAAGTAATCGATGACCTCTTCGTCTCTCGTCTTCTTTACGAAGACGTCGAATGAAAAAAAAAAAAAAAAAAAAAGAAAAAATCGCGGATGAAGAAGTGGAGGAGAGGATGGAAGAGAAGAAAGAGAACCGACGTGATTGATCATGAGACGGAGGAAAAGAGGAATCGAGTGAAACGCAAGAGAAAAGTGGTTAGTCGTCACGGTGAGATGGGGTGATCACACTCAGGCAAAAGAATCAATCGGTGGGTTAATGGTCGCGTTAATGAGGATTAAGTACCTGGAAATGATGCTCTTCATCTTGGTATCCGGTGCAACGCCATCTATATCGGTATCCTCGGTTGCGCCTAACCGGGCCCTCAGTCGATCTACGCTACTCTGCAACCTCTCGATTTCCACTTCGTACTGGAAACGAAGAGACGTGGCGTTGTTAGTTACAAGACACACACTGGCAGGCAGTTCCGTTAGGCGACAGGTCAGAGAAACAGAGAGACAGAGAGACAAAAAG